CGTTCCGCGAGATTTTTCTAGCGCGAACCGCGACCTGCGAAAAAAGGATCTACGTGGAAGCGTTGTGCCTTGGGTCAGCAAGATCGGCCGGTGCGATGAAAGAACAAATGAAGAAGGAAAGCGTCAACTGAAGCGTGCGAAGAGAGTAAGATGCAATTAGGTGCCTCAAGAAGTTAAACTGATCAATCAACTCTATAAAGTGGAAAATAGAGAATGCTAATCATGCACTCTGATTAAAACAAAAAAAGGAACTTATAACTGCAGGATTAGTTTCTAAAAGATTTAATTCATCATTTCATCGTTAATCATGATTTATCACTTATTAAATTTTTACTACTATTCTTGATTTATTTAATTTTTTATATTTTTTTATATTTTTGAATAAATTATGGGCGTCGCGCGATGCAGGGTCAGGTATCAGTTTCCATTTTCATAAATCTTGCATTCTCTCGAATTCGCGACCTGCGAAATTCCCGTAGATACGAAGACGCGAAGTTCCCTCACGGTTTTTGCATTAACTCCAGCTTTACGGTTCGCCCCCATTATTATTGCCGCCCGCCATTTATTTATATCGCCGTGGCTGACATCTTATTCTCGTTTTCACGACTTTATTAATACCGCGTGTATGTGATATACACGTTGTTGATCATCTAGCCAAGCCTGTCATCCGCGCGACAACACTTCGATCGAGCTTTTGTTAAAAAATAAAACCACGCGCAATCGTCCGCTCATCATTAACTTCACGCCGCATTAACTGAATTTATTAATAATTTTTCATCCTGCATTTTTATTGCATATATTATCTCGACCTAATTCGAAAATTGGTCGGGAGATAAGTTGCAAAATACCCATGAGAGCAATCGTACTATTTCAGCTGAGAGTCAGTCGGACAATCGATTGTCTCTCCTGACTAGTCACCAGTCATATTGACATCATGACATCATAAGCGAGAAAAGACAGATGAGATTTCTTGCAAATTATTGAGATTATTTGCAAATAAAGAGATATTTGGATAAAATAATACTTGAGATCACTTTAAGACATCGCTTGTGAAAATGATTGGTAACAGGAGTAAATGGCAGAAATTCCATTACAGCTTTTCACGATAAAAGGATGAACTAATTAGGCGTGAAAATTGCTGACAACGAAATTTTTTTTCGTACGTTATTTTGTTATTATGCGCTTAATCGTGCAGATGTGACTTGTCTCATATTTATTACATAAATTCGTAAAAATAAATGGTAATTAACGTTACCTTTAAATTTTATACGTAAAAGCATATTTTTCACTTCTTTCAACAAATGTTAAACCGTGTATTTTTTCACCTAAATGGACTTCATTTCACGTATCTTTTACAGCTATTTATTGACTGTCAGAAGAAAAAAATAGTCCATTTTCATTCGTCTTTTTACAAGTGTCTTAAAACCACCTTAAATATTGTTTTATTCAAATATCTTTTTATTTGCAAATAATGTGCAGTAAATTTCACTGTGTCATTTCCTATTTATGACGATTCCAATATGGCCGCGGCGATTAATCAGGAGCCTTAATATAAAAAAAAAAAAAAAACATTCAGTTCATTCACAGAAACATCATTATACCATTCATTCATCTATTCATGTCGATCAATTCTAATTAAAGTTATTTGAGATCGAGGGAAAAACAACGGACCTTCGCTCGCTTGGAAACCTACGCGCAAATTTATCGGGTCGCGTTTTCCCAAGTTTTCGTGATCACTCTTCGAGTTGAAAATCGTCATCGGTTGTCATTCCAGTTGCGCGACTCATCCTATATATATATATATATATATATCTGTGTGACCATCAGAACAGTGGCGCGGCTCTAGGCCGGACTCTCGCGGCACATTTACATAACGACTTTTTTGGCACGGGGTGGCCCGTTTTTGTTGGCTGGGAACGCAAACGCGGCCCGGAGGCGGAGAGACGCGTCGCGACGGCGAGAAAAACCTGATCCCACCGCAACGGAACTCCCGAAGGCTCGCGCGGCTACCCAGGACTTCGTCGTCCTCGTCGTCCTCGTCGTCGTCATCACAAACCTGTGTGTTCTTTATGAACTACGATGAGCGACCGGTCCGGCGCTTTTCGAGGGGAGAAAAAAGCGGCCGTAAAGGGCAGTCATTCGGATAAATTTTTTGTCAGTTTGTCATTCGATAAAATTTCGTTCATATTATTATTATTTCGTTTGTGTTATATAAAATCAATTCGTTGTCTGCATCAATTGTCGGTTGCAACATTCTTCATTCGCCAATGGTTTTTCAATTGACGGTGAACGGACGTAAAAATAATTGATATACTAATATCCAATAATGACTAATCATAATGTCTATTTAAATCCGAAGTTAAAAATTTTTTGAATTCCCTGATTTTAAAAACAATTTGTTAAAATTCCAAGTAAAATGATTTGTATAAATGTATCTTATAAATCAATATTATATATATTTATTGCATAAAGGTTTTAATTTTCCATCTATAAAAGTTTATAAATCGTAAAATAAAATTAAGAATCACTCAAATTGCAAAAATTAAATTTGGAAAATTATGAAAGAATTTGTAAAAATTCTAAAAAATAAATATATGTTAAAATAAAATTTTTAAACTTTATTTTCGAAAGCTACAAATAAAAAGTTATGCCAGTTATAAATCAGTACAAAATTTAACTTTTATAATCATTGAAATAAATGTCGGTTTTCGTTAAATAAAATTATATCTAATACGAAATGATTGTCTTCAATACTGAATATTGGATTAGTCATAAAATCAATATGCTCTGATATTTAGATAGGTCCATTGTTATTATTAACAATTCATTTAGTAAACTCTCGATTATAACAACAAAGACAAAATATTAGAAAAAGCAATTTCAAAATTTTCTAAAAATTCCAAGTTTGCCAGGTCAGATTTTGTCAAGTGGAAGACACTCTGTTAACACGATTATTCCTTAGTTTTATATTATATTTTCGAAAGAATTAAAACGAATCGTAATTCATAGATCATTTCCGACGCAATGTCAAGTGAGGTGTCCTTTATAATTTTACTCATAACGTGCGTTATTAAATAGATACATGAGGCGTCTTCGTCGATGAAAACGGTGGAAAAAAGGGGAAGCCGGGGATCGAAACGTGGATTCCGAAACTGATGAAATTCCCGCAAGGCCCCCAAGCAACGGATGTGTCGCGCCGGTGTGTCGTGCCGACAGCTCCGAGGATTACCATTGTTTTCTATCCTCGGATATGTTTTACAATCATTGTGCCGAGAATTAACCCGGTCTTCTCTCTCGACGCCCTCGGGGATGGAGAAAAACGGCGAGGCGCGCGGCACGATTCGCGAAGGAGAACCAGATTAGACGCGGCCGCCAAAAAAGAAACGGCGGCGCGCTAAATCAGAAGCGAATCCGAACTCCGCGGACGCGCCGATGCGCATAACCGTCATAGTCCGCGTGATGCGACGAATGCACGCAAAAAAATCGCACTTTAATTGTATCCTCCCCTAAATATACCTACGCGTATGATACTGAAAAACGCGAATGAATGAGGATGAGAAATCACGCGTGGATTAACGCATGCCATTTCATGAGAGGATGCGATTTCCAACCACGATAAATCCCTCCCCTCCCCCCCCCCTCTCTCTCTCTCTCTCTCTCTACTACTACTACTACTAACTAACTAACTAACTAACTAACGTAACGT